CTTTTGTATTCTTATTTTAATATCTCTATCAGTTCCTCCATCTTTATCTACATTACTGCCTAAATAGGTGTACGACTCCACGTCTTGGAGTGGGGTGCCATTAAGAGAAACCACATTACTATTTGCCTGATTTATTCTCATTATCTTTGTCTTTCCTTTATGGATTTTCAGACCAAGCTGCTTTGATCTCGCATTAAGTATATTTAATTTATCTTGCATCTGATTCCGTGAATGGGGACAGAAGAGCAATATCATCAGCGAAGTCCAGATCATCAAGCTGTTTTGAAGGGGTCCACTGAATTCCATTCTTGGTGTTAGCAGTTACTGTTTTTTCATAGTCCAGTCTATAGCCAGTAAAAATAAGAGAGGCGACAAAAGACATCCCTGTCGCACACCTGTTTTTATTTCAAATGCATCTGTTAGCTTTCCCTCATGAAGAACTCGACATTTCATGTCTTTATATGTTGCCTTTACTAAGTTGATAATTTTCTGTGGGATTCCATAGTGCCCCATCAATTTCCAGAGAGATTCCCTATCTATGCTGTAAAATGCTTTTTCATAGTCTATAAATCCAATGTAAAGTGGTGAGTTCAGTTCAATGCTTTGCTCTATTATAATACGAAATGTGGCTATCTGATCAGTACAGGATCTGTTTGACCGAAAACCTGCCTGCTCATCTCTTAGCATTTTATCAATAGCATCTTTTAATCTTTCCAAAATAATTATACTTAATATTTTTCCAGGAACTGACAGCAACATAATTCCTCTATAGTTTTCACACTCCTGTAGATCACCTTTTTTGGGCAGTTTCACAAGATGTCCTTCTCTCCTGTCTGCTGGTATTTCTTCGGTCTCCCAGACTTTACTGAATAATCTATGTAGCAATTCTGTTGATGTGTTTATGTTGGCCCTGATGGCTTCAGCTGGGATACCGTCTGGGCCTGTCGCCTTTCCTTCCCTGAGAAGATTTATAGCTTTCCTAATTTCCTCTTTGGATGGTATCTCACAGTTGATATCCAGTTCCATTTCTAAAGGCTGGATATCTGGGGGAACCTCTGGGCCTGGTCTATTTAGAAGCATTTCAAAATATTCAACCCATCTGTCCATTTGGCCATAATCACTAGAGGGGAAGAAACAATCGCGTCTGCAGTAAATATATGAATGTTTTGATTGTCAGTGTGAATTATTTCCGCTTTTACAACCTAGTGACCTGACCTGAAACATAGTAGCATTTACATGGTTATCTCCAATCTTGTCTACCGTTATAGAGGGTTGATCATCGAGTACAATTTTATGGGGTTATAAAGCTACGAGGCAGGTGCTTTGTAATAACCGGCAGCATTGTAGTTAGGCAAGAGGCAATTCAAGGCTTAGCAAGGTCAAATCAGAAAAGTGCCTGCCAAAACTGGATATACAAACTCACATGCCTGACTAACAGTTTAGTTCAACTAAACAACACTTTATTGCTGTTGACAGCTCTCTAAAACTTAAGTAACAGCTGTCAAACAGTTTACAGTTACTGACCAATGGTTACTGCAACTGACCAGCAATTTACCAACCGCTCACTGCAACTGGCCAGCAGTTCAATGCTAGTGAGCAACAGCCAATGTGACGAACCAACGGTTCAAAGCAACTAACCAACAACTCAATGCAACAGTATACAATATAGCTTCCTGAGAGGTGTCAATCAGTACTTGTAAATCTAATCTTTACTGTAGTGAAATCAGCCAGCACGAATTAAGTCTGCGTCACTCAGCTTAGTAGTTTCTGATGTAAAAAACAAAAAACAAAAGCGAAGAAGCTTTCCTTAAACCAGTATGATTGAAAGCAATAATACACTGCTGTACATCTCAGCATGCAAGAAGCCAGAATAACTAAAGGCGACGAAGCAATCGCATCTGCAGTAAATGTGTGATTGTTTTGATTGTCTGGGTGAATGATTTCCGTCATATATAATTCGACAACACAGTGACCCGATGTGAGGGCTTCCTCGGTGCTCGCACAGATGATCAATACAACGGCCAGCGGACTGGACAACTAGCTAAATACAGGAACCAGGACCCCTAAAAACTGCATCGAACTTAGGCAACAAAGGAACAAACTCAGGTGTAATTGCACACCACAAAGGAACACAACTGTGATAAGATAGCAAAGGAATCGTCCTTGATAAAGCAAGCACTCGGGCTGCTAAGAAAGGACTAAGCTTGGCATTTTTGTTTGATTTTTACGATATGATACGACCCAACGTGCAACAAAATAGCATTTACATGGTTTTCTCCGAACTGGTCTACTGTCATCGAGGCGAGATCATCGAGCTGCAATCGACTTGACTTCAGTGACTGAAACTACACACGCACATTTCCTTCCCTGGAGTCAACAAGGATCACTCAACCGAGGTGCATGAACCTATGAGTTTATGCTCCCTTGTTCCCCTACCAGTTCTTATATTATATTTCCCCCTATCTCAGCGACTCCGAGATTTCCTATGCAATTCCCCAGAAAGTTCAATATTATAGGAAGTTAGGATCAGTCGGTGTTCATTTAACACCTTATTATCACAAAAATATTGGACTTTCTTTCAAATTCCATCAAAAATCTCGCAGTCGCCCAGATAGGGTGTAATAAAAGAGAAGAACATCCCCACCCCCTTATCAACTTTTTATATAGTACAATTCCCATGGGGATTTAAAAAGCTGCGAGGCTCGTGCTTTATAAAAACATGCTGCATTCTAGACAAGAGGCAATAAAAGGCTAAGAAAGGTAAAACAAGACAAGTGCCTGTCTAAACTGGTTAGACAAACTCACATACATGACCAACAGTTTAGTGCAACTGAGCAGCAGTTCAGTGCAACTGAGCAGCAGTTCAGTGCAACTTAGCAGCAGTTCAGTGCAACTGAACAACAAATATTTCACTGCAGTTGACAGCTTTCTGCAACTTAAGTAACAGTTCACTGATAGTGAACAGCAGTTCAATTTAAATGACTAACAGTTCATTGTGACTTAGATACAGTTCAGTATGACTAAGCAACAGTTCGCTACAACTGACCAACAGCCTCCAGCAATTGAAAACCAGCTCACTACAGGCGAGCAAAACAACAGTTGACTGCAGCTTATAAAACTCTCACTGCAATTGACAAACAGTTCAATGTAACTGACCAAAGATCACTGAAACTGACCAGCAGCTTACTACAAATTAAGCTGCAGTGAGCTTTGATTAGCTGGAGTGAGCTTTGGTCAGTTACAGTGTACTGTTTGTCATGTGCAGTGAGCGTCTGGTAAATTGCACTGAACTGTTGATAACAACAATTTACGACCGCTCACTGCAACTGTCTATAGATTCAGTTCCAGTAAGCAACAGTCCAATGTGACTAACCAACAGTTCAAAACAACTGTCCAACAACTCAGTGCAACAATATACACTATAACTTCCAGAGAGTTGTCAATCAGTACTTGTAAATATAATTTTTTCTGTAGTAAAATCAGACTGCACGAAGTTCGTCAGCGTCACTCAACTTAGTCGTTTCTGATGTGATATAATAACCCAGTGACTTAACCTGCAACAAAATAGCATATACATGGTTACCTCCCATATAGTCTACCGTTATGGAGGGGACTTCAATCGACTCGACTTCAGTGAGTAAAACTACACATGCACATTTCCTTCCCTGCAGTCAACAAGGATCTCTCTACAAAAGCGAATGAACCTGTGAGCTTATGGCTTTCTTGCTCCCCTTCCGGTTATTTTTTTTTATTTCACCCTATCTCAGCGACTCTGAAATATTTTAGTGATTTCCCGGGAAAGTTCAACATTATAAAGAATTTGGGTTAGTGTTAGTCTGTGTTCATTTTGCACCTTAATACTCCAATAATACTGGACTTTCTCCGGAATTCCATACAAAATCTCGGAGTACCCTAGATGAAATGCAAAAAAAGTGAACCCCCTCCCCACCCATAGCCTTGCCCTAAACAATTGTGTGTATTCATCTGTATTTATGTTTATTTCAATACATTGTGTGTGTGTGTGTGTGTGTGTGTGTGTGTGTGTGTTGTTTTTTAAAGTAAATATAGGTTTATACCGTCTTAAGGGTTCCCCACGTGTTAAATCATTTACTTAAACTTACTCTACGTTCAAAACAACGTTCGATTTTTAACTTATCCGCTATGACATCGCGGAAGCTCTAACATCTCAAGATGACTCATCTACCATGTGTCTGGTCTCCAAGTGAAGGACATTGTGGGATTCACATCCATCCTCCCGTCACTTTCCGTGCTAGCACGTGAGCTGCCATCGAGAACGCTTCCAAGTGTTTCCTTCTACAACCGCACACTGCTAAATTCTAATGTTGCCAGACAATACCAACTCGGAGAGGTTAGAGGTTTGTGGCGAGCTAACTAGTACACAATTATCCACTTGTGATTTTCGCGGCGCCAATTTTGGAGGTTTGGGTGAGGATGGGTTCAGTTTGGGGAAGTAGAAAGTAAAAGAAAGAGAATAAAACAATGAGACCGCCGGACAAACATATTGATAGACGTTGATAACTGGAGGCTGGTGAAATCTGCAGCAATTAACTTCAAAGTCTTCGTGTGATGAAGAATATATATACATACATAGTTGTATTAGTAACAGCAGAAAAAATTAGTAATCATTACATTCTGATAACATTGTTGCTGCAACTCTATGTAACAATCACCGCCGCCCCTAATAAAAATAATATTAAAATTATTAATAACAACAATAGTCATTAAACGAAGAAGACCCCACACAGTTACACACACACACACACACACACACACACACACACACACACAAAGAGAGGGGAGATGCATCTAATGAAGCTGTTAATCTCACAAATGAAAAACAGTCGCCTTATCAAGGAACAGTCACCCGTGTCCTAACGTAACGTACTGAGATGGATAAATACTCAATAACGCCCAAACTGCCCGTGGCTGATTTATTAAAAGCCATATATCATTATATCAATAAATCACTACCCAGCTACAGACACAGAGCTGCAGTTGTGCAGTGGCTTGTGCTCTTAGGAGCCAGGCGACGGTCGTGAGTTAGAATCGCAATGGAAGGCTGGAAACCACACTGGCGTTTTGTGGTGCCGCAAAAAAGGTTTTTAACTTTTACTGATGCTGGAACACACACTGGACTGCAGGTTAAACCGTCTTGTGGGTAGCCTAACATCAGTGTACCATGGTTGTTTGGCTGAATGGGATTTTCGGAATTTGTACCTGTGTGTTCTTTATCCTACGCACTGCAAACCTGTAGCGTGTGAGGATAGGAGAGAAAAGAAGAAGGGGGGGGGGGGCGGGGGGTATTTAAACCCACACACAGATATCGAGGCCGGTAAAAGGAAAAGACTCTTTCTACGCCAATTGAGCATCGAACATATACTATTTTATAAAGCAGTCCGTTCTAGGTTCAGCGTCTGCGGCTTAGGCGTTGCGAACGAGCTTCGTAATGCCGGGCTGCTGGGTTCGATCCCAGCTGCGGCTCTTGCGCTTTGCTTTGGCTTCGACCGTTATATGGAGATGCTGACCGCCCAGAAAACAATGGCAAACTACTGGACGTAAATTTGCCTAGAAAAACATCAACAGCCAAAAATGCTGGGATTTGTTCTGCACTGTCCTGTAAAGCACTAGGGTGGCGATGTGGTCAAATGCGCATGTGGCGGCCTAACTTCCCCTATTAATGCTACCCACTATTGGTTGGGTCGACCTGGGAATCTAGGTCAATTCTAAAAATAATCCGCAACGAGGCTGATGGTGTTGAGAAAATTAAAGTCGCTTAATCGCTTGCCTGGTGCTCTGAAGGTTTACGCTTGCATTTGAAATTTTGTACCTTAATTCCTGAATGCTGTTGTCTGAAAGATTCCTTAATGCAGTCGCTGAGGCTATATAATTTCGTACTTCACTGTTAAAGATTCCTGAGAGTTAACGCTCGAACTATACAGATTCATACTTTACTGTTAAAGATTCATGGGAGTTAACGCTCGAATTATTCACATTTATTCTTTACTGTTAAAGATTCCTGAGAGTTAATGATAGAACGATAGAGATTCACGTGTTACTGTTGAAGATTCATGGAACTAGTCGTTGGAGCTATAGTTTCATACTCTGTATAATATACCTGGGAGTTGTCGTTGGAGCTGTGGAGTGTGAGGTTATGCAGGTTAATTTGGGCGGGCGATACCAATCGCGAGGATAGAACGAGTTTTATGGGATCAAACGTGTGGCAGATAGATTCTCCCGCTTTTGCACGTCTTTGAACAAAACAAAAAAGGAAACACGCACATTAAAATAATTTGCAACACAACTGAAATACCACACTCTCACACACGATATACTCATTTTTAACGAATAACATAAACTATTAGCATATTATTAAAAACATTTCCGAATGATTTGTTTTGAATTATGTTTACCCCCTGAAGTCCAATGTTGAAGGTTTGTTGCAGTTTGAAATAAACACCGACTAACTCAAACCCTGATACCCCTATAATATTGGACTTCTCGGAGAACTCCGGGATTCCCTGCTTTAGAGTTGAATGCAAAATTTACAAAAAAAAAAAAACGAATTTTAAGTATCATTCATTAATAATAGTAGTAGTAATAAAATAGAAATAACAATGCGCTGAATATGGAAAAATATAATATTAAGTGGTTTCTCAATATTCTACCCCAAACAGGGAAAATCCACAGGTCACGGGACAGTCTAATATTTCAGGGGGTGGTAGATAGGCTACATGAGGTTGTGGGGCCTAGGCTGCATACACTTGTGGGACCTAGACTGTAATCTCTCGTGGTGCGTAGCTGGGTTTGGGTTATGGCCAGTTCTAGATGTTTTGGTGTCGTTAGAAAAATAATAAAGCCGTGAAACCGAGTCTTACCACCCCGTAACGTGTTGGACTGTCCTGTGACGTCATCTGGGCGTAGGATTACCTAAGAACCTAATAATATATTTTAAAACGTCGTATTACAAACACATACTTGAAAAAATAACTTCAATACAAGGTTGGGTTAGTGTGTGGGGGACAGTTAAGTATTCTTTGAAATTTAAGGGGTGGATCCTGACTGGCACCACTCCGCAAACTATGAAAGCATCAATAGGCATTAGGCCGTCGGTTCTAGTGCTCCTGACCGAACATGTATTCATTGTTGCAATGCAATATAACTTCCTAAGAGGTGCAAATCAGTACTCGTAAATGTAATCATTGCAGTAGTAAAATCAGACTGCATGAAGTCAGTTAGCGTCACTCAACTTAGTCGTTACTGATATTTTAAAAAAAAACATATTTCCTGAAGCCAGTATTATAGAAATTAACACTACCATGCTGTAAAACCCAGTATGCTAAAAGCCAGAATCCCTAGAGGGGAAAAAAGAATCATGTCTGCAGTAAACCTGTGCTTGTTTTGATTGTCTGATTGAATGATTTCCCTCCTATAATTCAATAACCCAGTGACCTGACCTGCAACAAAATAGTATTTACGTGGTTATCTCTGATCTAGTCTACCGTAATGGATGATGGGAGATCATCAGCTGCAATCGACTCGACATCAGTGACTGAAACTAAAAACGCAAATTTATTACCTTTAGTCAACAAGGATTTCTCTACACAAGCGCCTAAACCTGGAAGGTTATGCTCCCTTGCTCCCCTCCCGGTTCTTTTACTATATTTCACCCTATCTCAGCGACACCGAGATTTTGCAGGGAAATCCTCGGAGAGGCCAATATTATAGGGGGTTAGGGTTAGTCGGTGTTAATTTCGCACCTTAATACCCTAATAATATTGGACTTTCCTGAGAATTCCATACGAAATCTTGGAGTCGCCTAGATGGGGTGTTATGAAAGAGAACATCCCCCCTCCTTCACCTCCATCCTTCCCCTAAACTATATGAGTGTTCTTGTGGAGAGCTAACTCGTAAACTATTCCCTTGAGAGTTTCGCAGCGCTATTTTTGGAGGTTCATGTGAAGATGGGTTGTGGAAGGGGTGGAACAGACCCATTGTCATCCAACAATCATGAGGTAAATAGAAAGTAAAGGAAAGAGAATGAAATATTAAGACCGCAGGACATACATATTGATAGACGTTGATGAACTGTCTCGCTTGGTTCACAAGTACAACTCTTTTTCTATTTTTCCTACTCCTTCTCAGTTTAGTGCAACTGAACATTTTACCGCAGTTTACAGCTCTCTACAACTTAAGTAACAGTTCACAGATTGTGAGCAACAGTTCAATTCAAATGACCAACAGTTCATTGTGACTCAGAAACAGTTCAGTATGACTGAGCAACAGTTCGCTACAACTGACCAACAGCCTCCAGCAATTGAAAACCAGCTAACTTCAAGCGAGCAATAGCCCACTGCAACTGTACAACAGTTCAGTGTAATTTACCGATCGCTCACTGCTGCCAAATAACAGTTGAGTGCAGCTTATGATACCCTGACTGCAACTGACAAACAGTTCAGTGTAACTGACCAAAGCTCACTGAAACTGACCAGCAGCTCACTACACATTAAGCTGCAGTGAGCTTTGATTAGCTGCAGTGAGCTTTGGTCAGTTACTGTGTACTGTTTGTCAGTTGCAGTGAGCGTTCACTGTTGTTAACAACAGTTCAGTGCAATTTACCAACCGTGCACTGCAACTGGCCAACAGTTCTGTGCTACGTCCTTTTTCGATTTTGTAAAGCTAACATAAACTAATTGTTGTTTCTTACCAACTTTTTCTCTTCCCTAGAATTTTCTACTCCTTATAAAAAAAATACATAAGTGAATGAACCTGGGAGCTTATGGCTTTCTTGCTCCACTCCCGGTTCTTTTTTTTTATTTCACCCTATCTCAGCGACTCTGAAATTTTTAGGGATTTCCCATTATAAAGGCTTTGGGTTAGTGTTAGTCGGTGTTCATTTTGCACCTTAATACCCCAATAATACTGGACTTTCCCCGGAATTCCATTCGAAATCTCGGAGTACCTTAGACGAAATGTATTAAAAGAGAAGAACCCACTTCCCACCTATACCCTTGCCCTAAACAATTGTGTGTGTTCATCTGTATTTCTGTTTATTTCAATACATTGCCTCGTGTGTGTGTGTGTGTACGTGTGCGTGTGTGTGTGCGTGTGCGTGTGTGCGTGCGTGCGTGCGTGCGTGCGTGTATGTGTGTGTGGGGGGGGGGGGGGGTTAAGCAAATATAAATTTATACGGTCTTAAGGGTTCCCCACGTGTTAAATCATTTACTTAAACTTACTCTACGTTCACAACGGCGCTCGATTTTTAACTCATCCACTATAACATAGCGGGAGCTCTGACATCTCAAGATGACTCAACCACCATTTGTTTGGTCTCCAAGTGTAGTATACCCTTGCCCTAAACAATTGTGTGTGTTCATCTGTATTTCTGTTTATTTCAATACATTGCCTCGTAGGTGTGTGTGTGTGCGTGTGTGTTTGCGTGTGCGTGTGTGCGTGCGTGCGTGCGTGCGTGTATGTGTGTGTGTGTGGGGGGGTTAAGCAAATATAAATTTATACGGTCTTAAGGGTTCCCCACGTGTTAAATCATTTACTTAAACTTGCTCTACGTTCACAACGGCGCTCGATTTTTAACTCATCCACTATAACATAGCGGGAGCTCTGACATCTCAAGATGACTCAACCACCATTTGTTTGGTCTCCAAGTGTAGGGCTTTGTGGGATTCACATCCATCCTCCCGTCACTTTCCGTGCTAGCACTTGAGCTCCCATCGAGAACGCTCCCAAGTGTTTCCTTCTACAACCGCACACTGCAAAATTCTAATGTTGACAAACAATACCAACTCGGAGAGGTTAGTGGTTTGTGGAGAGCTAACTAGTACACAATTATCCCCTTGTGATTTTCGCAGCGCCATTTTTGGAGGTTCGGTGAGGATGGATTAAGTTTGGGGTGGGGGGGGGGGGAACAGACCCATCGTCATCCAACAATCATTAGGGAAGTAGAAGGTAAAAGAAAGAAAATGAAAAAAATGAGACCACCGGACAAACATATTGATAGACGTTGATGACTGGAGGCTTGTGAAATCAGCAGCAATAAACTTCAAAGTCTTCGTGTGATGAAGAATATATATACATACATAGTTGTATTAGTAGCAGCAGAATAAATTAGTAACCATTACATTTTGATAACATTGTTGCTGCAACTCTGTGTAACAA